ATACTCCCCCCTCCCCCCCTCCCCCACACAACTCCCCTCCACAAGCTTAACATCATAAACCCACACCGTCCTCGCAAGCGCAACACCAAGCTCCGCATACGCAAGACTCTTCCCAATACACCCCCTCGGACCAATAGAGAAAGGTGTATACGCGCTCTTCGCCAATGCTACGGCCTCAACACCGGCTTCTTCTTCGATCCACCGCTCCGGGAGGAATTCGTAGGGGCGGGGGAAGTAGAGAGTGTTGTGGTGGAGTGCGTAGTGTGGGGTTCCTACGACGGTGCCGGGGGGTATGGGGCAGTTGTCGATTGTGAGGCCGGGGGTGAGGATTTCGCGGGGGAGGATACCACCGACGGGGGGGGAGAGACGCATACTTTCTTCGAGAACGGCGCGGAGGTATGTGCAATCACCTAATCCCTTGCCGTTGACGATATCTTCCACGTCCGCGAATTTATCGCGGATTTCGTCCTCGAGCTTGTGGAGGACGTGGGGGTTGTGGGTGAGGTAGAAGAAGGATGCTGCTAAGGCTGTGGATGTCGTGTCGCTTCCGGCGATGATTAGGAGGTTCGATTCCCCCCATAACTCTGGGGTTGTGAAGCCTTTCCCTGTCTCTGGGTCGACGGCGTTGAGGAGGTAGTAGAAGAAATCTTTGCGGTCGGTTTCTAAGCCCAACTTTTGACGGGTGGCGGCGAGGGAGCGGCTGTAGGACATGTATTGCATGCGGAGATTGTAGATGTGGCTGAAGAGGAGCTTGTTGAGACCTAGGGTTTTGATGATGGGGTTTGTGCCGAGCTGTGTTTTGGTCAGTTAGTGATATAGAGGAGGGGAGACGTGAGGGAAGGGGGACTTACGATGAGATGCATATGTGCTGCGTTCCCAATCAGATCAATAACATGTCTATTCTCCTCCAGTTCCAACATCTCAAACGCCTGTCCAAAACACAAATCACCCATCACATCAAACGTAAGGTAATTACTCCAATCCGCCATATTCTGCACTTTACTCCATCCCCCATCTTTCTCCCCTTCCCTTCCAATCACCTCAGCCTTCTCTCCAAGCCGTCGCACAAACACCCGCACATTCTGCAAAATATACTTCTCCATATCCTTAATCGCGGCCTCGGAAAACGCATGCGAAAGCACCCGTCGCTTGCGCGCATGCTGCGTCTTGGAAATCGACGAGTGCGTGTTGAAGGTATCTTTCGTGGGGGGGAAGACGGTGTAGAATTGCGATTTTTGGACCGGCGCCCGGTGGGTGTAGATTGTTTTTAGGGAGGTGTTGGTGTTGAAGGAGAGGGAGTTGGGGCCGTAGCGGAAGACGGGTCCTATGTTGATGGAGAGGTTAGGTTGTGTTATGCTTTTGGGAGATATAGCGAAGGGGGTGGGAGAGGAGGAGAAGAGGTTTGGGAGGGATGTAGATACCGTATTTCTCATGGCAGCGATGGAATTCTAGATGTCTGTCTCCGTGGTAGGCGTGGTAGACGGAATACCAATCCGTCAGTTTCGCCCAGAAGGGACCTGGGTATTTTGCGAGCGGGTGGAAGTAAACTCTGTATACGGATAGGATGAGGAGCTGTGATGTATATCAGTACTTGGTGCTGCTATTTCGTATTTTTGCAAAGGGATAGAGGATATACTCACAGAAATGAATGACACTCCCATGCTCAAGACAACGATGGAGAAGAACATGCTCGCTAACGAGCTACTCTGTATATTAGGATGTAACATCGTGAAATACCTTCCAGAGTCCGTTCCCGAATCTAGGATTTCTTCGATTCTTCACGCTTAGTGTTGTGTAAAAAAGAAGGTACTGGTGTAGGTACAGTACGAAACTAGTACACCGGGTGGAAGTGTAGTACTACTTACTCTAGTCAAGATAAGCCAGCCCATCCCACACTAACAAACCAAACCAAGCCACTCGAACCCTCAAGTCACAAGTCACAAGTGAACTTCCCCATCCAGCTTACCCGACGACAACCTACACTTCCATCCACCTCCCTGTTTCAAGCGCATTCCAACCCATAAAGTTCTATTGGCAACCCAAAGCGTGCGTGAATGCTTATGCACCTGTATCTTTGTCGTGGCCGGGGCTTTCTTAAGCCGTGTGTAGCCGTGTGGTCTGGTGAGATTGGCCAATCGGCTGGGGTGCATTAGATGTATGGCGGGGTAATCGCGGAATGGAGTTACGTCTTTGGTGGGGTGAATTTGAGGGGTAGGAGGTTAGCCACGTGGGACACTGGGTTGTTGCTATAATGGAGAGGGGAGGGGAGGGGTAGTGAATGTTTTTAGGAGGGTTGGATTTAATGGAATCTTACGTCTTTTCCTTCTTAAAGATACGAGGCGGTACGAGGACGACGGCGACTCTTATCACGTGATATCAAGGGAATAACTCGAAATAATACTTGTAGTATTTGTATTTATTCTTAAATTATATCTTAGATTATTCTAGGGTAGCTTAGAGGAGAAAGCGGAGTTTTTTAGACGGTCTCGAGACTCTCGCCTAAGGGTCTTATATAGAATCTACTAATATATTCTACTTAAGAAGTAATATATATAAGAGTAGTGTCACGAATCACGTGTTGGCATGTGATAAGTAAAGACCAGGCGGCGTCCTGACAGGTTAAGCACCATCAACACACTCTTATAGCAAATAGGGATGCTTAGGCTAGCTAAGCGATCCAGGGATTTCATCTGATAGAAGTCATGTGACCGTCATTGATCATTGGTGATCAACTGAGCAACGCTGAGCTGGATCAGTGGGATCAGGGTGATCATAATGATCAACGAGCAAGAAGGTTCTATATAAGACTGGCACGTCTGCCATTAGATAGGAGCTTCGTGCTCAACTTAGTTATCAATCTTATCATATTAGTTTGACATCTTTGATACAAGTAACGAGTTCACTTCCAAGTGAACAACCCGATAGTCTTCTTCTTATCATAGCATACCAACCAGCGAACACCCAGCCAAGTTTAGTTAGCCAGTTTGAGTATTCGTTACAGAGGGTTTATAAGAACTATTCTAGAATTATCCTAGGATATTTATAAGAGATAACTATTCTCTAAATTCAAATAGTTATAAGTAGTAATAATCGTAGAATAGTTATATAGAATAACAATTAGCTACTATACTAATTATCCCTTAGAACGATTACTAAGTCGAAACGCTCCTAGAACGCTCCTAGAACGCAGGCTGATTAGTAACGGGCATGCGACCGTCGCAAAAACTCCGGGCTCTCCTATAAGGTAATTAATTCCTGTCTTTTAACCTGTCTTTCCCATGCATTTGTATATTTTACCTAGAGGATATGGGCTCCATTGGGCCACTTGCCGCTCAAGTGGGAAAAAAAGGCTGAAAATACGAGAAATGTGATTGTAGGCGCAGAAGCGGCATAATAGGGGGTAGTAAGAAGTGTTGACCCCCCTTCTTGTTTATTGGATATTACTTTTTATATAAGGTGAGGTTATGATTGTCGATTTGACAGACTTTTCGAAAACTATATGCTATCTTGCATACCAATTAATACGGTACTGTTACAATAGTCTACTTGACCCAGAGTCTATTCCGGCGATGACCATAGCACCGATGACTGCCAAATAACCATCAGAACAAGTTATTATGGGGTCGACTGATTAATCTCTGGCGCCTGGTGTTCAAGACAAGCCTCGTATATGTATGGGAAGTTACCTATTTGAAGACTGGCAGTATTTGCAATGGTGAGCCATAATTGTCTATCACGAGTATCGCCAGTAATAAGACACAATAAAATAGAACGAAAGCGAGCTCTGAGTGGCCACTCGCTTCGGGAAGAGAGGTATTGTAAGGTAAATCGAGTTAGTCTAATTCTAAATGTAGAGGAAAGATAATTATAGCGAAAGAGCTCTAACTTAGAAGCGTTAGGGATGGGGAGAGCCACTATATTTGGTAACGACATGATTTACGAGCCATCATACACGGATCGCCGACACGGTATTGAAAGTTCGTCAGGAAAACGGCTAAGAAGGATGTTAGGGGCATCAAGTCCCAAGGCTTTCAGTTTGAACCTTGATGGCCAGGAGAAGGAAGGTAGCGAAATAATTCAGAGCAGGTATCAACTTTCTTAAAATAAAGATAGACGGGTAGACCGACAATTACTGAACATGATAAGTATACTAATGGGACTCAGGATTTTGTCCATGAGGAGGATCATTCTTGAACGAGCGAGCGGCCGAGAATACGACCTATGAAGCCTCTAATCAAGCATAGGGTTGATTATCAATTTAGTACATACTTCGTCCCAGGCGAAATAAATGTAGGGTTTTCAGGGGTTTTAACCCCGTTCTCCACTAAAACCACCCTAGCAAACCTACATTTATTTCGCCTGGGACGAAGTATAGTGAGAGAGGACAGATAATTAGCCTCAGCCTCAGCCTCAGCCTCAGGTGATGGCAGATTCTGTCAACTTTCACTATTGTACTAAGGGGGGGGTGCTTGCCACCAGGAGCTTGTTATCAGGAATCGAACCCGACCTACTCCCCCCTCCTCCTCGATATTGGTATATTTTGCGGCTTAGTAAAGGTAGGCCTCGACTATTTCAACAAAGGGGATGATCGCACTTCCACCTGCCTATTCCTCGTAACGCCTCCTGGTTCTTGTTTCTTGTTTGTCTCACTACTTATTGGAATTCATGGCCTTTTGAAGCCTCTAATCTCTGCACAAAACTTGTCCAACACAAAAAATGTGAGAAGATTAATTCTGTAGGAAACGATTATTTGCACGGGGATTGGTCGCATAGGTAATTTAAGTTGGTCCTGGTTCAAATTATGTAGAAAAGGAGCTAAATACAGTCGTCTGCCACGATTGTTTTCGGCCATAGCGCACGCTATGGCATATATGGACAGGTCACAACTCGACAAATAAGGCAGACACAAGTTAGAAACAGTGTGGTGTCTGCCGGGCTTACAGTAAAACTGACGATTCGTATCGACTTGAATATACGACTTCTACGGGATTATAACAAAAGAACCTTGAAGCTATTCGCAACCCTTCTGGACAATGATATTAAAGCTACTTTGAGCACCAAAACTACTAAAAGACAACGTAAGTTAAGTTGTGATAACCGTTTCTGCGATGTTTTGCTGTAAGACAAAACCCCGCCATACGTTATGCGATCAATTTGAGCAAATGACACGATGATATCCAAACACTCAAGTCTCAATCTGATTTGCGATTTGGCAGGAGTCTATTTGGCAGCATGCAAAGTCGGGAACGGGTCTAAATTTAGCTTATTCCTTCGGAGAATATTTACGGTAACCGGCCTGAATTGTAACCAAGCTAGCCAAGCAGCGCGTTCGAGAAGGCTTCGCCGTTATGGGGGTTTTTCCGGAAGAATTCGATCATCTTTTTCTCTGTATATTTCCTTGGGATTTGGGGCTCAAACTTTTAAGTGGGTGTACAAGACTTTGCATCGTCTACCGGGGAACATTCCGTATGAGACAGATAGCCTTATCTTTGCTTCTTGGTACAAAAAACCTTTTATCAGCCCATCGAGTTTTGACGGTACGGACCGTACTTGGGTAGTTTATGTTTCGCATTCATACCCGTAGTTTGAGCACTACAGTAGTGCTGCTTACTCTTACTCCACCTTTAACATACTCTTACTTAGGCAATACAAGTTCAAAAAGGTTCGTTTGAAGACTAGAAATATTCCGCATTGTTATAATATAATCGTGGGTACTCTAAGCAAATTAAAAAAATATACTTGTTGTAACGCGTTGCGTGGGAGTGATATAATAGACCAATTACATAACCGTTATTAACCAGTAGATTTATTACCTGATACACCAAGTGATTCGCATTAATGGGGAGCGTGACTACCGAGAGTTACCACGGCCATGGGTATAAATACTTACGCTTGGTAGTGCCACTTGTGGAGCTAAGGCTGCCAAGTTTCCATACAAAACGCGAACAAACATGTGCTTAGCCTTCGAGTTTCTACGAAGTACACGCAAAGGGAAAATTAAGCAAAGAGGATGGCCGATGGATGTTAATGCCGCCGCTTGTCATGCAGATCATATGTGAGAAAAGTCTATAACCCCTAGAGCTGAGTCTAATTCCCTGGTTCCACTAAAAATCAGGGTGAGACATACTATTATCTTGCAGGGTGCGAATCCAAGCTGGCCCATTATATGGTTAAGAACAGGATGAATTATGTAGACATACATTCGTGCCTCATTAACTTATCGTCGCCGATACCTCCATTCTCTTACGGTTCATTGTTGGATTGAGGTCTATAGATGTTACAAATGAATAGAAAATTTAATACAGTTCAAGGTTTAGACATACTATCTGATGTTGAATTCACAAATAAGTACTGAAGTCATAACTTTACAAGAATGTTTTGGGATTTGTTCACGCTCTGCCTGGCTGGGAATTCTGCCGCCTGTCACCGCCCGTTCTCTCGAAACTGATTGATTAGAGATCTTGCGGTCAAAATCTCAGATATGCGACAGTAGTAGATCTAATATACAAAAAAATGCTAGGATGTGTGGGTGGAGTAGTAGAAGTAGAAGTTGGCAAGAATACTTTTAACCGCTCAGAGAACAGCTTTTCTAAGGGTCGCTGGGAAGAAACCTTCGACCACCATGAGAAGCTCCCACTCATCGCAATCTTCTCCCCATGAGAAGAAGGGCTTCTGGAGAGTAGGAGCCTCTATTTTACACTGCCCTCGACTCTACCTACACACCCTAGCACCTTTGTAGAAATTCAATTTGCTATAGTAATTTAATACTTACCAGACCTGCTAGAGGACTCTTTTCAAAAATAGCCACAGCTTCGTACTAATACTTCGTCCCAGGCGAAATAATCGTAGGTTTGCTAGGGTGGCTAAGGTTGGCAACAGGGTAAAAACCCCTGAAAAACCCACAATTATTTCGCCTGGGACGAAGTACTCGCAAGTTCACAGCTTGCTTTAATCATGTTTATGAAGTATCTAGGAATAAAAGCGGATCCAGCGCTCAAGGTTGCCGGTCACGCCTTACGGGAATAAAAGTTAATAAAACACAGATCTAAAGAGTCTTGAGAAACATGCGCATGCCAAGTCCAGCCCACGGTAGAGATAAATACCAAGTCCTTGGAGAAGAAACGTGGAAGTTTCTAAGGAGCATCTTTGAAAATCAAACTTTCCTACCACAGGCACGGACCTTTGCGAAGTATGCGGTACTACAGACAAGTATGGCATGTTCAAAACGAATATATAACAACCAGAGGTTCCAGTCCAAAAATTTCTTCTCCATCCTTTTCGTTTTCCGCTTTTCTGCTCTTTTTGCATTCTTCTTCTTCTTTCTTCACTTCGCAACCCACACTCGTTTAAACACACTCGTTTATTGTAACCTTTAACAAACCTTTTTGTCTCTTTCGTAACAAAACAGCAAATTATCTTTTCAAACGCAAACATGCAGTTACTCAACATTCCAACCGCTATTCTTCTCCTTGCTTCCGCTTTGTCGGTCACTTCTATTCCAGTTGGGTAAAGACTTCTAGCATCCGGTTGCACTCTACATTATCTAACTTGAAACTAGAAGTGGAGACGTAGCACTTCAAGCTCGTGATGTGCCTGTTGTCAACGTCGCCGACGGGCAAGAGTTCGCCAAGAACTACAGAAGAGATGAGAATACTCTCGAAGCCCGAGATGACAAGCCAATAATCCCAGTCATTGCTAAGGTTCTCGCAAAGCCAGTTGTTGCTCCTACCAAGTGGGTAGCTACTGCTGTCAAGAAGGTCACTGGCAAATCCAGATACTCTCGCCGTGACGTTGAGGACACTCTCGGAGCCCGCGATACCGAAGCCGACGAGGACATGAAAGTAGCCAACGACGACGCCGAGGACAGCGACGACAGCGATGCAGAAGAATCCGACGTCGAAGAGGATTTGGAAGAGTAAGCGCTCTGAAGCTGTTGTGCTGGGTCTACTTTCTCTTTTGCTCCACTTCCTTATTTGATCCACTTATAGTTCTGCTGCCTAAATGCTTCATGTCTGCCTAAACCTTACACTCTTTATATAAACACCTTAGATAGCTACCTTTTACAATGCAATCAATTCTCCATGACCTTCAGTACCCAATACCCTTTCAACCCAATACTTTTATATATAGCAAATGAATGAATAGGCTTACGTACAGAAGTTGACCAACCCCTGAAGCAGTATGAAAAACGGGATAAACGTAGGCCATATGCATCATGTATGTCTCACTCATGATAGTATCGAAGTAATGCAGGAAAGTAAAGGCACATTTCCGACTGTTGTACTCGTCGACAGACTAGCCAGGGGGTGTCGCCCTCAAGGGGGTCTGTATGTGCAGGAGGGAGTGGGTGGCCTTGGCGCGGTCTTCCACCAGCTCTCTTCTCAGTTGCCGCCTATGCTTAAACCACTTGTCGCTTTGTTCCCCCAATCTTGAATTTTCCGCTGTTTGCTCTTTGCTCAATTGCCGCCTCTGCATGCTCCTCGGGCAAGTGTCGCATCTCGATGTTCGCGTACTCAGAGCGGACTTGAAGGCCATCGGCGGAAATGGGAGCAGCTGTTATAGATAGAACAGAGGCGAGGAGAAAAATAGTAGTTTGGATTTTAAGGAGTTGCATTTTTGCGGTTGGGGATAGACAGTTGGATTTCAGAGATGGTATTTGACTTATCGCGTAATTTGAACAAAGGCTCAATAGCATATGAAGATGATCACTTTTACAAAGTACTAGACTACCTAAGGGATCTTATATAGGCAGGTATCTAGGACAAGAAACAAGATTCGCCACGTGGTTAACTCTAAAACCAATGTACTGTAGGAGAGAGCATAAAACAAGTTTCCAACTACTGTCTCAAGACACAATAACAATATTGCTGTAGTACTAACAATATTACGAAACCTTAAAACAAAGTTTCACAATCCGACCAGGGTATCCACAACAGATAATGCCCAACATAAAGTAAAGCGAACTCCCAACAAATTGATATAAAAGTAAAGTCATTATAAAGCGAATGGAACATCGGACCCAGTGCTAGTATAAACCATAAGACTTGTAGTCTTGTAACTGCAAGGATTCTCGAAACTGTCCATAGAGATGAAGAAAGAAATTCTGCCCTCTCGCCTCACGGCTCATTAACCCAGTCTCAAGTTGTGTTGTAAGATAATATAGAAAACAGAACGAGATTCGAGTGTCAGGTGCAATGTGCGGTTTGAGTTGAAGCATTAGACGCCATTCCAGCATTTCTGGAGTTTGAATGCGTAGAAATTCCCTGGCAGTTGTCTAGTAAAACCTCCTAGGTTTCATTAGTTTTGAAAATATAGCGCAACGTGTCCAAGAAGAGATTAGGAGGAAACGTACGATGTCGAATGGTTTTGACGAGATTATGTTGTAGACATTATGCCTCATCTTTATTCAAGTGTTATTACAAGCACTTGAAGATTTAAAAGGGGGGTTTACCTCCACCCTGAATTGTATTCGATTTCCCAGAAGCGTTTCGAGCTCCTCTTTAAGTCTTTCTGGAGTCGCGTATCTTGTATGTATTTTCTTTTCCGTCGGGGTATAGCTGCCCCTGGTTGAATTCTGACATTCGTATGGCATGAAATCGGTTGTTTGAGTAGTTGCAGTAACGGTCTAGATAGATACTTGATAGAAAGCTTCTGAAAAATGAGTTCAACGAACAGACTCTTGGCAAAATGGTTGTATACACACAGGAAGTTGGGAAGAATATGTATATATCATACGAGGCTGATTGTGGTGGCTGCATGCGCGCATGTGGACTTCCATGTTTCCCTGGACTGACGTTGTTTGTGTATGCCTAGACCGAGTATGCCTTGCGGTTCTCGAAAACGAAGCAATCCTGGTCTCAGGTTTGTCAAATATGGCTTGTCTCACTTCAGAACTCGGAAGGAGTTCGTCATCACCCGCCCCCTCAAGCTCCACGGGGCTTTTGCCACGAGTGTTCACAAGAAACGCTGGTCGAGCTGCACTCATCAGGGGCTATCTCGTGTGCCACAAGTGCATGGTATTCAGCTCTGACTTTAATGAAACACAGCAGAGAAAGAAGGTAACGCGAGTTTTGTTTTTCTACCTCCGCATCGAATAGACTTGCCCCTTCCCCGATCATACACGAAAATTCCTTATATTACACGACATATTGTTACAACTTAATTTCTTGATTGCTTTCTCGATATTGTTACACCAAGTTACTGCAGGCTTGCTTGTCAAATGTCACATCTTCCGTAAGTTCAGTAGGAACAACCGCGAATCTCCTTCTGTTCCAGTCAGCTCCTGCACATGGTACGAAATGGTACACCACTGAGGCTACAAGATTGATGAGCAAAAGATTTGGGGCTACCTCTATCAGCGGATGGCAGGCACTATGAAAGGTTTGTTATGGCGCTTCTGAACTGGGAATAACCAGAAGAAGTCGCGTAGAGTTATTGCGGCTATTAACGAACCTCTCCTTAGTGACGACCAATTCTAAATCTTTTATCTAGAATGTCAACGAGCTTTTCTGGATCTAGATCGCCCCTTTGACGTTGCGACCTCTGGCTTTTTAGGGCTTTTTATTGATCAGTTATGACCATTTACATATGGCTATGAGGTTCAAAGCATATGTGGAGTTTATACTTCCCTCGTCGTTTCTCTGCGGTATTCCCATGCTTTCGAGTGCTCCTTCGCCAGACAGACTTGCTTTCTGCTCTTCAAAATACTTTGCATTAGATTGGTCAGATCGGGCGGTAGGGCTTTTCACTTCACTGTACTCGCCAGACCCCCTCTGTTGATATCTACACATTGATTCCCAGTGCTTGGTTTGGACTTATGGTGATGCAGCCATAATTCCGTGAAATTCATCCTTCACTCCATTCCTGGTAATCAGCTGCAAGTAGCCGAACCACGAGATAATTCTCATGGGCACCTCATGCAATTAACGAGACAGCATTGAAGGACATCTAGTAGCTATGTTACACCCATTATGGAGCTGCAGCTAAGAGCCAAAGAATAAATTTAACAAATCCTCCATTCCTCACCTTGTGGGCCTTTCAAGCTCAACTTCAATCAACTATCATGTCACAAGACCATCTTTCTGACCGCGCAAGCAGTTTCAATCATATGGGTCTGCCTGACAACCAACAGGATTTTCAGAATGTTTGTGTATTGTAATTCTCTATTTCCATACAGCTGACAGATTTAGAATTTTGATTCACCAAATCAATTCCCACGAAAAGGCGATATTTTGTCCTCTTCAAACGACGATAATAAATTGAATGCTTTAGAGATCCCCCCCAGTCCTTCAAGGTCCCAGGCGACATCTAGCAGTGTTGTTGCTGACCTTGGAAATTCCTACTCTTTTGCAGACAATCGGGCATCAAGCCAAGTAAACTTCAATAGTCTCTATCAGGCATCATTAGTATCTCACGCAGCTGGAGGTGCTCCCTTCTCAGATCCAACAAGCTATAGCCAGGAGAAAAGGAATAGCTGCTCCCTCAAAACGAAGCAAAAATGACTCAACATCACACCACAACCTAGGAACGTCCATACGTGCCGCTCTTGAAAAATCACAAGCAGGAAAGGAAAACGAGTTTCTGCCAAATGATAAGCTGAACGAAATTGTGGCTAGAGATTGCGTTCATTATCAGCTCAGCCACCACAACGTACGTCCACTTAATCAGTTAGACGAATTAACCAGCAAGATCTGGAATGTCACCTCCTTCGCCCTCCCAAACAAAACATGAGAAGTTGGAACTGAATTCTAAGGAAACCACAAGAAAGAAGATCTTTGCTATATTGGGTTTAATGGACAAATTTGAGGCGATTTTAGACTTCATCAACGAAGAACTTTTCGACACTGACCTGCCTTTCACACTGACTGTTGGGGCACTCCCTGGTACCAGGAGACTGACTCGTAAGCAACATAACCAAAAGCAAAGCTCTGGAGAGGTGAAACTGATTCCTATTCCATTTTTCGAGAATTGGAAAACCCACGAACTCGAGTCTTTTGATAGATACCAGTGGTGTCTCACGGCTCCTTATTTTCACACTGCGCAGAATCCCACGAAGATCCACTGCATTACAGTTTGGAATATGGTATCATTCTTCCATTCGTCGAGGACGAGGAGGTTTCCGGGAGGCCAGAACGTAACCAGGGGGGGTTCAGTGACGTATGGAGAGTAAAGATACATCCAGCTCATCATAACCTTTGTCACGATGCGGTGGGTCACTATCTCCTTTTCATGTTTTCCTCAAATGACCAAAGTTCTAACCTCTCACCTAATTACCAGAACCCTTCGTATGCGCTCGAGAGATTGCGCTCCAACATACGTGAGCCATTCGACCTAGAGGTTGACAATCTGAAGCGTTTCAGCAGCAAGGACAATGTACACCTTACTAAACTCCTGGTGACATTCTCTTGGCGGGATCAATACTATCTTGTCTTCCCCTGGGCTGACAGCAATCTGTTAAACTATTGGAAACAGAACCCGGTACCGTCCATTCCCATTCAAGACAAAGACCTGGCTGTTTGGCTATCTGAGCAGTGTCTGGGGGTTGCTAAAGGTTTAAAAATGATTCACAACTTAAATGTACTTAACGGATCAGCCCGCGAGGTTGGGTATCAAAAATATGGGAGACACGGTGATCTTAAACCCGAAAATATTCTCTGGTTCAAAGATTACCAACAACCGGGAGGGCTTGGAACTCTCAAGATTTCGGACTTCGGACTAACTCGATTCCATGGCGAGGGATCTAAATCGCACGCTGAAAATGTCTCGTTAACAGGAACGTATCGTCCTCCAGAATACGAGATTGCTCAGCTGGTTTCCCAGAGCTATGACATATGGAGTTTTGGCTGTCTTTTACTCGAGTTTGTTACGTGGTATCTACTTGGCTGGGAGGGATTTGACGATTTTTCGAAAGCGAGAATGAACGAGGACACGGAAAGTATTGTTCCGGAGGATGTTTTCTTCTGCTTCGTCAGAATGGGCGGCGAAAACGGGGAGCAGTTGGCGAGAGCCAAACCATCGGTCGCTAATGTAAGGGGCTCCGATACTCTTACAAATCATGTCAGGTACTAACAGATAACTTATAGCAAATCAACCAACTATATCGCCAATCTCACGGCTCAGACTATATATTAGAATTTCTCAAATTCATCGAAGAAAGGCTAATTCGCATAGACCCCACGAAAAGAGCGACTTGTTGGGATATCGTAAATAAACTCTCTGAACTCCACGATAAGTGTAGAGGTGATGCAAATTATTGTACGCGCCGCTCAGACACATCATTATCGGAACTATCAGCATCCGCTTTTAAACTTTCGAGGGAAAAACGTGACAGGAATCACAAGAGCTTTGCACACGAACAAGGACAGAAGAGTCCCCTGCCCAGTCCGACTGAAGCTCCAGCAAGCCCAGGATACCCGTTTCTTTCCGACTCCCGTGGAAGAACACGAGATAGAAAGGATCATGTTTGTCGAGCAGCGTCACCAAGTCCCAACCCGTCTTTATACAGAACGTCAACTGTGAAATCCGGTAGTAGCAGTATCGGGACACAATGTTCTGGGCCTCCACCACCAAGCAAGAAAGTCGTTCATTTCGAAAACTCTCGACCACATTCTCGCGACTGTAGAAGGTTAACACACGAGAGCGGTAGAGCGGTCAACAAAAGAAAAACGACTATCCATCACGAGGGAGAAGAGCGGAGAGACGCAAACACCGATGACAACTCAACCCTCAGCTCGCCATTGGAAATCACAGACAGCCCAATATGCACATTGCCACCGACTGCTCTTAGGCCATCGATATAAGAATCACCAGATCTGTCGATATGTTCCACAGAAAGACCTCACTTGTCCACCTCTAGGAGCTTCCTTGATTCCAATGAACCTACAGAATGTATTCTCATAGATGGCGTCCCCATTGGTAGCATCCCGGTCGAAAACGGCGACATTGAGAAATCCAACGCTGGTAGTGACAACCAGATCGCAAATACCAAAGGAAAGAAGGAACACTCGCCAGATCAGAAAGTCGAAGAGCCGCAGAAACAAAAACGACAACCGACTAATAAAATTAAAAGATTTCTCTTTGAATTATCTTGCTTTGGCAAGCAAAATTAGAGACCTTATTCATCGCTTGTACAATATCCAATTCTTGTCTTTTTTTGATGTAAAATTATCATGTATTTTTATAGGTTCTTGTTTTTCTCCTAATCTTATATAGATTGATAAGAAGAGGCGTGAGGTCAATTCTTCTTGGCAATTACATTTGATACCCAGCAGACGACGTCTTTTTTCTATGGTCATCTTGTAGCCGTTCGGATATAAAATTAAATACGTAGGTAATAAACTTCCGACGAATGAAGTCTCATGGATTTCCTGTTTCTTGATATTCAAAATTCTGAAAATCTGGGTGATTTTTCCACATTGTTCAGGTATTTTACTCTTTACTGTATATTTCAAATTGGTTTGGTGGGGTACCCAGCATGACCACTGAAAATACCGATCCACAGACATACCTTTATGAGCCGAATCATTGCTGTGGTTCCATAAAATGAACTCGGTCATGCCCGCCCGGCTTATGAGCGGGAACCTCGGAGAAGAATGAATTGCTTGTAAATTGTGAGGAGTTATGTATATAATGAGATGCATTGTCTGCACAAGTGCGCAAAAGCTCATCGATTTATTCATTTTTCAATGGTTTTATCTGTGACCCTCTTGAAAACGATCTACTTTAAGCATACAATCGCCGAAGATCGCTTATGCCTCCACGGTTAGGGGCGATAGTAAGAACATGCTGGCTAGGGAAATCAATTCAGTTACGTAGCATCGCAGGTATTGCACGGCTTTCATGTCAGTCACTAATTCCAAGCATTCAGGATAAAATCTATTTTGAATCTCGTTCATCATTACACATTAAAAGCTTCAAGCAGCCGCGCTAATGATATCGTCCGCGGCCTTCTCGCTAATCATATACACTGGAACCGCAACATAAAACCCGGGTATCTTTGGAAAAACACTGGCATCCACAACTCTCAGTCCCTCAGTCCCTCTAACCCTGAACTTTGAGTCCAAGACCGCCATGGGATCTCCATCTGCTCCAATAGGGCAAGTACAACTAGCATGGTGTCCCCAAGCCTCATCTCTCACAAAGTCTTTCAGTTTCTCACCAGTAACCTGGAGGCCAGGCGTGACTTCGGTAAACCCTCCTGCCAGAGGGATCAAAGAGCTATAGATCTTTCGGGCAAACTCCATGCCTTCTACGACAGCCTCAACGTCTTTGTCACCATCGCTAGCGCTGTCAAAGGAGTTGAATTTGATGAGAGGTGTATCGCGGGGGTTGCTGGAAGCGAGCTTTACGGTGCCGGCGGCGTTGCGAGAATGCGCTTTGAGAACCACCCAGGACCAATGTTGAGCATCTCCCGTCGAGAGTCCCGAATAGCCCGGAAAGTAACCCGGAAAGTTAGCTGGGACACCCGCAACTAGTACGAAAAGTTAGCGCAGTACATTACTTTCCCGGTAAGAATTGGTGAGATGATATCGCTTCTCAGTAACTAGGCAGAGCGATTCAAGGGGGGAGGGGGAAATACATACTGAAAAGATCTGGATCACCGCTTGAAACGGCACTTTTCTTGACAAACCCAACCGAGAAGCCATTGGATCCATAGATTCCACGATCGCCACCATTTGCGCCCGACTTCCACTTTTCAAGACACGGATCAGAGGATGTGCGAAGAAAGGTGCAATCTTTTATCAAGGCAAAGTTACTGTCAGCTTTCGCGATAACGCTCGTCTCGTATCGGTCTTGCATATTCGTTCCAACACCAGGAAGATCAACAATAACGGGGATATTGAAGCTGGAGAGTTCAGCGGCTGGACCGATACCACTGAGCTTGAGCAACTGCGGTGTATTGAAAGCCCCAGCTGACAAGATGACCTCGCGAGATGCAGTGGCACTTCCTGGAACACCTTCAGAGGCACTCCCTGATCGGGGGTCCGCGCGATAGAGACTTTTTCCAACAAGGTATTCTACTCCTGTTGCTTTTGGTTTGGAGCCAGTTGCATCAAAAAGGACTTTGGTAACCAAGGTGTTAAGTTGAAGGTCGAGATGATACTTCCTGGACCCATCTGCATTGACCGCGTTTATAGTATCCAGCACGAATTCTCTTGGCCCATTTCGAACTCCATCCTTTATCGCAATTGGGACTTGATATAACCCTTCAGCGGCATCACGTCCTGGTGATTGAACGTTGATGTCTCGAAGTAGAATCTCCCCAACTCCGCCAATTGTTCCTATAATACCTCCCAAAATGCCTTTCCCCATTGCCGCAGCTGTTGCGATGATAAGCGAGAGGAGTTTGAAATCTTGGAGAACAAAGAGCACGTTCGTGATGCCTACGGACAACCAGCCACTGTATCCATGGCCTGCGATTCCGTTGGGAAGGTACTCTGATTTTTCCAGTCGTTGAAAGTATTTCCGCATTTCAGCTGGTGCCCAAGTATTATCCCCCGTAACGCTGGCGATTGTTTTCCAATCACTATCGTGGGGATAAATGGTAATCAAAGCGTTGTGAGAACCACATCCACCAAGAGTACCAGCACGAGGATACAAAATTCCCAAGGGAGTCGATCCTGCTGGTGGGGTCAAGCCGACGTATTGGTCGCCCGATGGTGTCCGGTAGGTCATTTTGGAGTCTTGTTCTTGCTGGGTGACATTGCTGTAGTGATTGACGAAGTAATCCCATCTCATTGCCTCCACTTCAGATGAAAGAGCAGAAAACGCTGGAACTTGATACTCTGTGAGTGCTCCTTGATCATCACCGGCATCTAATAAGAGGACCTTGTACCCCGCGATGGCTAGTCTTGCGGCCAATGGGCCTCCTCCGGGTCCAGATCCTACCACGACATAGTCATATGTCGTGGTTTGGCGAGCATGATTAGGACTACATATAAAACTCAGCATTTTATCACTAGCGGATTAGGCAGAACTTACAATGCTGAAGCGGTTGCATACAATAAGCCAAAAACAGACAAAGACCAGTTGAAATACATCTTGAGGGATGGAGATTTTGGAAAATCTTGCCCCATCTACGAGAGAGATTCATTTAAGTTATATACAAATTACCAAGATAGAATCCGCGGGGTATATCCTCATTCAGAATATTCTGGTGTCATTAACGGCGCAGCGATCGGCTGTATACTTACGCTTTAGGTAGTTGTTGTGCTCGTGTCGAATAGGAGCTGCCGAATTTAGACCCCTGGTGGATATATTGTGCAGGCATGGGGTGGTACATGTGCTCAGGTGGCATCGCAATTCCGGTTAAATCATATATCCCCACAAGCTATACGAACCTCCAACATCTCGATTATGCGCAATTCGATTGCCTGTACTCTATTACCAAGATCACACTGCTTATACGGGTACCATTACCAAAAAGGTATAATCTGGGATTGGGACATAAGCTATTACTTCTCGTTTTTTCGTACAGCAATACCTCTTAAGAATTAGACAACCTTCGGGTATTCCCGAGGACTGCGAGTAAGGGATTTCGAGGATTTGCGATGAGGGATTGAAAGGAGCCAGCTATTATTGTAACACCCTCGGTGAAGTACTGCGCCTAACAGGATTTTGAGAATCTTCAAATCTGTACAACGATGAACTGAATGAGAGATTGTGCCCAAGGTTTGCCGAGGCATGTTTACATGTCTCCTTGGTTCCTGTTGATGTCATGGATAAGTAATTTGTCATTCGGTGATTGCAAAGAGGTGACAGCTACCTTCCAGATTACTTCGAAGTAAATTATGACAACTCCTTCCACACTATCTCTACCCATATCAAATAAAGTTTCAAGAACTCATGATATAAGGTTACAATTCCCGGCTCTTTCACGGGAGTTAGCCAGGAATATCCCACCTTTGTAAACTTCAGAAGTACTTCGAAGTACGAAGTGAGATGCGCAGAGAGAGTGCGGACAGAACATTGCCGTGTTTACGAAGTCGGCATGTGAGCAGACAGAAAACATTATCCAAGTTGCGAACACCGTTGAGTTCGGAACCAGGCAAGCCAAGCACCACAAAATTATACTCACAACACACTTCCTCTCATGGTTCTCCACAAGCCAGTGAGATGGCGAGATGTGTGGGAATCGATCCGACCGATAACACACTAACGTGATTTTTCAAAACGAGTGTATGCCCAGAATGATCATGATGCTAACCTGCGCTTCAAGTACTCAAATACTCGGAATGTACGCCCTTTACCTGACAGGCAATTGAAGAATATCGTAATCGAGCTGATCCGATCAAAGAGAACCTTGGATGAGGACTGGTCGTATGTTCCCCAATGAGACTTCTGCAACCAAGCGGGCAATCTCCTTCGACTCTTGTCCGTTCGTAAATATTTGAAAAGAAAGCTGTGTCAAATTCTTGTACCGCAAAGGAGGCAAAGAAGGAAGTGGTCTTTTCGGTCACGAACTCTGCTAGGCTGTCACCATCGCATATATATACATGTTGAAGTCCTTGAAGGTGAAATTGAAGAGGTTTTGGCCGCAGAGTAATAAAATGTATACGTATGTCGAGTTTTGACAACTTAGCTGATATCCTGCCATCTCAAAATCAGTGACTGGTGGTAAAGGATCAATGTGCTTCGCTTAGACTTCGAACCAGGACAATAGTGTATATGCGAAATTAGAGTTGGCTAGCTTTTAGCGATGGTAAGTCGTGCAGCGGGTAGTTAGCCATCCGAATTTTCTAGGCGAATGCTTTGTCGAAACCAGTCGCAACGGCTCTTGTCGATTTAATACTCGCATCGGTAGACCAAATCAGAAGCTTAGGCAAATCAAAAGCTTAGGGAACGAAGACTTTCGCCTTGATGTTTTCACAGGGGCAGTAATTGTTGCAGATAAAGAACGGAATGGCGTGGCGTCTCCGCCTCGGCCAGACTTTATGAACACTTAAGGTGCTGTTGCAACGCGAGTAAATAAGGTCATACTCGACGGAGATCAGCCTCTTCGGATGGATATCGGAATGGTCGGCTACGGGAGGTGATCAGGGAAGCAAAGCTGGCAGGTGGGGATTCACGTTGCAACATGCGGTTACATGCCAACATCTGCAGCCCTCAAGAGGCCGTGCGACAGAACAGAATCCACCCCAGCTTACAGTACAGAAGTACCTCCGTACTGCTCCCATCTATCACGGGAGGGGGTCAGACACGCTCATGTGACCCAGCGCTTATGACAAGCGCAATGCTGCGAAGGATATCCATCCCTCCAAGCCCTTCATCCTCAAACGTCGCTCCATGGTCTTTCGTGCTCTTCACGCCGACCATCACACACCAGCTCATCATCGGCCTCGTCTGATGCGGCTCTTTGGTTTCTGGTTTTTGGTGTTCGCTTTTTTATTGCAGCTACTGTACTCGAGTACGCGTACTAGCAATTTCCTTCCCAAGTGGGCAGTGTTGCTCGTAGGGCTTGAGCAGCCTTCTATTTTTGAGCTTTGCTCTGCGCCAGAACTCGCTTGCCCTTCGGTTAAACCACCACCATTCTGATCTGAGCAGCTACTTCGCAGTGCTTCGGTTCAATGGTTGATACAATGGTTCATACTGTTTTCTCTCTGGATTCTCGATTCTGCTGTTGTTATACATTGCTGCACTGCACTTTCGGCCAAGTATTTCAGCGGAAAATCCCGCGTCCTTCCATGCATTGATATTTCACCCTTGGCACTTCCGGGTGAAACTGTCATCCCAATTTTTCTCGTCTCGCGCAAACTCTATTTTGCTTGCCAGTCACAATTGATCAATCTGGCACGGAGGCACCAGTAAGAAACCAGAGATTTGCCTGAGATGAGACAAATTTTGAAGTAGCAACCAAGTTGCATTCGGCCTTCAACGTCTGCAAGTGCCAGACGGGGGCCCTCTCCTAGAGAGCCTCATCCTCGTCTAGTACTTGGAAGTATCTCATTGGCCAATGGCCACCCCTCCACCAAGCCCAATCCCTGGCTTTTACCGACTTTACACCAAAGGACAATAGCCGCAAAAGTACCATATGATAAGATTCTCGGATCCGGCTGGTCATTACACTAGAAGTCCCCCCCCCCCAGGGCGAAACAGGATTCTGTCCACGTTGATCAAGGCTCCCAAAACAGTCAAGCGTACTGTGGCAAGGCCCCACTGACCTTCAATCGCCCGTCCCCTTGGTCACTCTCAACCTCATGCAGCATCCTTTATTGAAGTTTGCCTTTCCCACCTTTTGCCCTTTTTTCCTCACACCGGGATTGATTTCTGGCTGCCATTCGTTGATCATCCTATTTACTATATTCCTTTTTGTTTTCTTTTGTGATACTAGCTTTAATACTTGACGATGGTGTGTATAGGAGACTCGAGCGGTCAGAGAGAACATTGCTAATGTACTAACAGACTTCGAACGAAAAACAATTTGTATCCCCCATCTCCCCGGCGGAGGTGGAGGCATACTACCCCGACGACAAGATTGTAATGGTTAGCCATGGACCGCCACCGTCATTTGTGACACCATCAACCGCGCCGTCGGATACATCGTCAAGTATGCTGCCTAGTACGCAAGGAACTCATTTATCACAAAAATACTACAACGAAACGAGGAGTTTCGAACCACCTACATATTCACAAGCACCGCTCCCAGAACGACCGAACCAACGACCATTTTATAAACGCCATATGCTGTGGCTGATAGGAATACTCCTTCTCATAATTATTACAGCCGGCATCGTAATTGGGGTCCTAGTAGGAAGGTGGTCAGGCAAGAAGAGCGGTAGCGGATCGGCGAATGCTGAGATATTCAACAACACCAAAAGAAGTGTCGCCAGTTCCGGATTGTTCCTGAATGACAAGACATGGAATATGCAAACCTACTGGCAGGATCCCAACGGAGATATCAGATATCAAATGAGTTTGGATGGAAAGAAGTTCGAAACACCTAGAAATACCAGTTTGATGATTAGACCAAAAGTTGGATCCCCCCTTTCCGCCACAGCAGAGACCGATCCTACAGGTGTTGTCTATGTAAGTTGCTAAGGACGTCTGATGAAAAAAACAACACTAGGCTGACAAATGTGATTAATAGCTCAGCGTATTTTATCTTTCAGAGAGTAACAAGATTACAATGTGTGTCATGGCTTGTGGAGCAGGAGCTTCCGTTTGTAGCACTTTCACCAATACTATTCTACCTACCGGAACCCCAGTAGCCAAGTACAGTGGGCTCGCGGCCGTCACTGTTAGCAAGGCGCAAGATTGGAGGGTTTACTACCACGATGAGAATAACTTCATATGTCAAATGGAAGGAAAGGCATCGGGCTTTACCAAGGGTGAAATCATTGGGACCCAGGCATTGAACAACTCGGCACTCGGAGCAGTAAATGTCAACACAACAACAAACAACATCGTTTTGTACTATATTGACCAAAAGAGTCAAATCCTGCATACACAGCAGTTCACCGATGGCAAATGGACAGTCGGTAGGCCAATATCCAAGCCATTAGACTCATTACGACTTCTAGCTAACAAGGTACAGGTTCACCTCTCTCAACAGCACGTGTAAAGTCATGGAACCCTCTCTCGGGAATTGGTGCCACCTACAGCTCGGGTCATAACCAACTCCACGTCTATTATACCGGACTCGACAGTCTCATCTACGAATTCACTGGCTCGAACGCTTCATCTACCAAGACGAACTATTCCACTCAACCCTCCCCTCAAAGAGAATGGTCAGCTTCTGACATCGTTGGAGGAGCAGTCACGGCAGTAGGATGGGATTCAAACGTTCGAATTTTCCACCAGTCGCAGGGAGTTTTGATCGAAGGCGCTCAAACGAATGGAACATTCAGCCAGCTTACTGTAAACTTGACATAAAGAGGAGGCCGCACGACAGGCAATATTGTAGGAATCGCAAATAAATGGGAGCGAACAAAGAACAGCAAATATAGGAGTTGGCGCTGTGCGGTTGACTGGAGTTATTATTCCGTATGTTACATATCACCCTATGTCAAATTATTTACGGGCACGAAATTCAACACTTATTAGACGAGCCTAAATTAATCATTTCTTTTTCTCAATCCTTCTTTGAGATCCTGGAATCCGGCGTTTCATTTTACATCTTTCTGTTCATTGTTGATTGATCTCACGTTGATACTACCCCAGCCCTTGAAGTTAGCGATTCTAACCGTATCTTAGTAGCGAACAGACTTAAGTCTAAGTTGAAAACACGGCTACTACAAACCCATGGCTTGTTTGTTTCACCGAATGGTTTCTGATAATGGGGTAAGATTGACAACTTCCTCTTCAGGACTTAAAAGATACAACTGGAGGAAGACGGAACGTTACCTTGCTCTAATTACATTTCATGTCGCTCCTTCCTGTTGTGCTTTTCTATTGTCTGGTATTGCGAAGTTCTTTCTGGTGGACGCGTTGAATGGTTTCATACTAGAGCTTACCAGGGCATGTGTTAGAGCATTGTTTCCCGGTTTGATAGTAGGAGTGTTATCTACTAGAGTTCGCGTGTATTAGATTGCTACTTTCGTCTTGTGGCTTTCGTAGTCTATATGTTTGTCCACTTATTGATCTTGAGTTTGTCAAAGTCCTATAAGACGGCGTGTGATTAAACATTAAGATGCCCCTCCGATGTCCCAGCACGGCCTCCGTCACGTTTGCCGAAGTCGAAGCTAGATCTCCAGTTCACCATTTTGCAAACACACAAGAGCCTAGCCTTGCGCCACACATATCCATTAGTTCTAGACTTCATGTCTTGTGGGTCCGGGTCTTCACATCATGTGGGGAGTATGTAGTCCTCAGGTGAGATGCCCAACAGGTGATTTTCTACAATGTGCCAAGAACAGTGAGAACAGGTTCTGACACCGCGCAACAATGACATTCTCCAAGCTCATCCAAGGACGTTGCTCTCCTCGTCGCTATGCCGTTTTTAATGTAATCGCATGAATGCTTGCGAGGCAGTTCCTGGTTTACGGGTTTGTAGATGGTTTGGGGGGTTCGGTTAGAGTGAGCTTGAATGGTGGGGTTTATTCATGCTTGATGGGACGTTTATTCTTGGCATCAGTCTGGAATAAGAGAGATGACAGACTACACCTGGATTTATACATTCAAAAGCATATCTTCTTCACCGGATTCTTCTTTTTTTTTTGGACGAATTGGTTTGATTCTGGATTCCTGGAACTTTGCCTAGCCTTTGGACCAATTGACTCCGTCTCGCCTGAAGTGAGTGAGTGCCTTGACATCTCCAAAGGTCCGTTCGTGAAGAGGCTTTCTGACTTCTCGTGCTCGTTCGCTTGATTTCCAACAAACTTGGCTTGGGGAAGTGAGAATACCAAGAAAGTCGGTCTTGTCTATATCATGTGATTATAATCTCAGTGCAGTCCTACTCCGTAGGCTGTTTTCTTTTTTTAGCCCCATTACGATAATTCGTTCTCAATCTCTACGCAAAAAGCGTACTGTTCAGATTCCGACAAGTTTCATTGTCTCGTCAAAACTTCCATACGTGCTACCTTCATCCGACAAACTGGCTTCAGCTTAGCAAGTTTTTTTTTGTATTTTCCAACAACAGCTCATACAGTAGTACGCAGTACGAGTGCTCGAAAAGTCGATGTTTATCAATCAATGAAATGCATTGGTTAGATTGTTTTGCAGAAGGACATCACGCCTTATTGCTGGCGTATTGTGAATATCGGAGCGGGGAGGTTTTTATCCACCCCCCACTCTCTATCACGCGGATCATAGGCTTCAATTGGCGATTTATATGCCTCTTGTGGTAATGCTCCAATCAAAAGATCAGAATAATTCCATCAGCAGTCTTTGAATACAGCCCTAAGGTTTCTTTTAGTTCTTGGTGGCTGTGTACTTACATGGGCTGTCAAAAATAAACCATCGTTTTCGATGACCTGATTAAGGTTCCAAATAACGAACTCAATCTCGCGTAGATTTCTGTTAAAGAGAAACTTTTCGTTCGTTTTGGAATTCCATATCACAATTTTTTTATACCCTATTCAGACACATGCGATCTATTGATATGTAATTCGTCGATGAGTATCAGTCATGAAGCCTCAGATCGGCAGCATTTTTACTGCTATTCTAGTATTAGCTAGGTCTTGCCTTGCAGACGCGCAATACAAGAGCAGACCTGACCTTTCACCTCCACGTCTGAACATCACAATACCGGCGACGTCAGAGGTCGAGTCAGGATTCATTTTCACGAGTCCGTATGGAAGCTCTCTGCTTCCAACTGGCAAATCCGGTCCCGAGCAGCCTGGAGCATATATTTTTACTGATACAGGAGATCTCGTGTGGTCAAGTCTAGGATATATCTCCGGTTTCGTAGCCAATTTTCAAGCTGGACAATACGAGGGTCAGGATGTCATTTACGCATTCCAGGGGATGATTGACTTATTACATGGTCATGGGTTTGGACGACCTGTAATCTTGAGTCAGAAGTACGAACTTATCAATTATGTGACGGGCGGCAATCACAAGGTTTTGGACCTTCATGAGTTTACCATTGTTGATGGCAAAACGGCATTGGTGGAGATCTATCAGCAGACAGTGGCCGATCTCTCCGCGTTCGGCGCGAATGAGACTCAAAATTGGATTGTAGATGGCGTTATACAAGGTTGGTCTTTGCTCTGGTACATTCTTAAGGAAATAAGCTCAAGAGACTAATCTTTAATAAGAACTGGATATCGCTACTGGAAAATTGATTTTTGAGTGGACGAGTCTGGACCACGTATATCCGAAAGGCGAGTAAACAAAACAACACGTTGACATGGAGATGAGGCTAACAAGCCCTAATAGAAAGCTATTTCCCTCTAGATTCTGAATCTGGATACACATCCCGTACTGCATGGGACTACATTCACATCAACAGCGTCGACAAAAATGCACAAGGCAATTATCTCATTTCCGGTCGGCACACTTCAACCATTTACAAAATCTCCTCTAAAACTGGAGAAATCTCGTGGAAACTCGGTGGCAAAGCCTCAACCTTCACTCTCGGGGAAGGTGTACCCTTCGGATTTCAGCACGACGCACGATTCCGATCCCGTTCAGAAGATGGACAAATCGAAATCATATCTTTTTTCGATAACTCGGCACGTTCCAGCGGCCACCAAGAAGGAGGACTGGACAAAGTGAACGACTACTCTAGTGGCAAAATTGTGCAAATCAACCATACAGATAACACAGCTACACTCCTTCACTCTGTTATACATCCTGATAAAGTTCTTGCCGCCTCGCAAGGAAACTTGCAATTCCTACCAAACGGCAATTCATTTGTCAATTGGGGACAGTCGGGATCGATCACAGAATTCGGTTCTGAGGGTGTTCCAGTCTTCAACGCTTATCTTGACTCTGGTGACCTCGGGTATGGAGTGCAGAGTTATAGAGGCTTCAGGTACAATTGGACTGGCATCCCTACCGAGACCCCCGCAATCATATCCTTGAAGGAGAGGAACGATATAAACATATACGTCTCTTGGAATGGAGATACCGAGACGAAGATTTGGCGATTCTATGGGATAAATTCAGAAACCGCTTTGAGAAAGAAAAGAAGGCCTTTCTTGGTGAGGTAGAGAGAAAGTCTTTCGAGACTATTTATACATTTAAGGCTGCAGGAGCCACTACGAACTTACCAATTGTGTTTGCAGAAGCTGTTGATGGAAACGGGGAAGTGATAACGAAGACTAATTTAGTTTCTACGAAGATCAGTGTTCTAAGCGATTCGATGGTGGAAAAGGAATTTGTTTATGATGGGTCACAAAGGTTGCTCAACAGCTCTTAAAAAACAAATAGTTACTCTGGAAGGATATAAATTCATGGATTTTGCTCAGGAAACTGAAATTATGAAGGCTTAGTTGGGCTTATCTTGCGGATTCATCCAAAATTTCTCAATGAGGCTTGATATAGAGAAAAGGAGTTAACAATTTCCTGCGGCCTGCGGCTCGCGAGGGTTCTAATTGAAGAGTAAAGTTTTAAAAGCGGTGATATGGGTAACCTTCAAGTGAGTGAAAAAGAAAAGAATTCTATCGACAGCTTCCATACACAGTTTTTGCTAGGGCCTTTAGATAAACCAAAAAGGAATCGAATCAATTTTACGCCTGTCGGCCAACGGGTGCCCCAAACTTACGATGTTTGGCTTTACTGAAGCCTCTCGAAAATCCATAAAATCATTATGAACCAACCCCAACTTTTGTTCATTCTGCAACGGGCAGCTCCAAGCTTTTCACCTGGTCCAGCACTCCAATGGAGTCCTTATCTAGACTTCCCTTCTCTACCAAAAGTTCAACCACCTCCCTAGTCCACTTCTGACACCTCCTTCCTCCCCTTCCCATAACAACTAGCTTCAGTTCCCTCCTCATCTACGAAAAATAAACTCACAACCCCAGGATTTAGCGGCTCGCTACTACCACCCGGAACTTCTACCCGCTTAGACACCTTCTCCACTTCATTTCTTGGCTTGATGTCCGTACTTGGTATTCCGTCATCCCCCACCGTGTTGAGCACAACCCACTTTCCATCAACCTGCCCAAGTAAATGCTTATTGAACTTCTTGCGGACGGCTGAGAGAGCGTAGTGTCTTTTGAACTCCAAGCCGTAGCCTGTGAAGGGTGTGCTGAGTAGTTGGATGAGAGTTCCATTTTCTGGCTTTTGGGAGGTGGCGGGGATGAAGAGGGCCCAATGGGTTTGAGTGCCGTTTATTTTGAGGCACGAAATGGGAAGGAGAGTAGATATATGGGGTAGGACATTTCCAAGGATTTTTAATTTGGTAATGTCGCCGTTATGTAGTAATGCTTGTGGAGGTTTAATGCTGGTATTTACAGGATTTGTGATGTTGGAGAGTGTTGGTTTAGGCAGCAATCACGGGTTCAAACCAATGAGGAGTACCTAGATATGGAACTTGAAATCTATACATGTCCTGCTGCAAGTGATTTAAGTCCTAATTCCTAAGCGGAAGGTGACAAATCACATGGCTAAGAGAGATCCAGTGGCCGGTAATACTAGCCTAAGTAAGGTATTGTACCAAGGCGCGTCAGGTGACTTGTAAACAGCCACATAGCCTCTGAATTCTAAGTGAGAAAGGAGAGAAAAATGACGTGTTATTATTCACTTTCCAAAACGCTTAATATTTCCTTGAATACGTTCGCTAACTGTAGAAGACCAGGTTTAGCCTAGTTTAGAGCTCTCAAGGTTACATTCACCCAAATAGACCTGCAGAGCTGGAGATTCAATTGTGAATAAAAGAAAGATCAAAAGATCCAGCTACTTTCCAAAACATCGACACTTAAGAACAAACTCTTTTCCAGAGCACGCTCAACCCCAATAGTACATCCAAAGAACAAAGAAAGAACGAGCACACAACACGCAGACACACTCAAAACAAGGCCTCAAGCACTAATTCTCCACAAAAACGATGTGCTACAAAGTCGGAGTCATCTATAACTGCACATGCCTCAGATTCCAGTCCACCTACGACGTATTCTGCCGCTACAACTTGGAATCCGATCCGCGACTTCAGAATATTACGAGATGTCCTCTTCAGCCATGGCATCCAGATTGGAAGCTCGTCATCAGACCCAAGGAAGGAGTTTGTGTAAAGTGTATTCCGCGGGGTCGACCGAAGCCGAGGGATAAGTAAAGGGTTCTTCAGGATGGGAATAGTCGCTTAAGAGTTTTGCGAAGGAGACGTGGATTTATGAAAGAAACCTGGATTCGGGAAGGGGCTGGTTTGAGACTGAGGAATACTGGATAGATGAAGCAAGGAGAACTTAGCGCAAAGTAGAACCTGCAGAATTGGACTTGAGCATGTTTTGCACGAAATGAAATTTCTCTTCCATTGATCTTGTGCTTGGGAAACGCGTTTATGTGGCCCAAGCAAATTGCATATTTAGATTTAACTTTTGCATTTTCACGATTTTCAAATCTACTCCGTTCTAAGGCTTGCTATCAAAAACATGATGATGTGATTACAATGCGCTCACGCTGGGTTTCACCAACCTCTTTGCGAAGAATCAAGAACTTTCAGGGAAAAAGGGTTGCTGATACCAATTGTATTCATCCAGTCCTTTGAAATGGACTCCAAATAGCAGAGAAGTGGTTTCGTGTAAGCCAGGAAATTTCAATACAAGAAGAGAATGGGGCTTCGTATGGGTGCCAACTTGCCAAGAAACACGACCAAACAAAAGCGTGAATTCGACGCAGGTCTCATGATTTCTAGGCATTAACCAGTACAACAATCTCCTGGCCTCCTATGACACAATGGAAATATTTTCCAGCCAAATTTCTACGTGAGCACCGGGTTCTGCGAGAGCCAAAAAAGCAAGCAAAAAGGAAATGGCAGCAAAAACATACGACAGTAGGTATTCCCTGGTGGTCATCCACCCAACTAGTAATCTGCCAATCTGAGGCTTGTGTATAGCAGAGCGGACGGGCTGCCCAATTCTCCTCAGTCTATGGTCGTTTGTACTAGCCTCTTTCCTGTTTGAATATTTGATAGAAATAGCAGAATTGTGAAACCAGAAGGTGGCTCTAGTATGATGACCTATTATGTTTCCAATTGACATCGGGTTTTTCCATTCAGCGACTGGGCTATACAACTTCAGCACATGATTTTCCGGAGTAGAAACTCAAAATGACGCTAAATAATAATCGTAACCCTCGGAGAATAATACTTCGTCAGTAAGTGCGAAGGCAAGAATGATTTAGGTGGAATACTAGCCTGGATACTTCGTAAAAACGGTACTGTCCTTTTTTTGATTTTTTGAACGACTGCAGTTTACGCAAACGCTACTGCTTCTTTGTTATTCATTGGGTGCCAGCTTGCGTTTTGGAACTCGGACGGTGTAAGATCAAAGTTAACAGTAGCAAAGTGCGAATCCTGAACGGATTAAGTAGCTGGGCGCAAAATAAACGCATTTGACTCGCTTCTCGGCAAGACTATGATGCTCATACCTTTTGGTAATATTAAGAGTGTTAAGTTTCAGAGTTAGTAGGGGAAGCAAACGTTATTTCTGGAATCTAACTTAATAATTAGTGAGACTGTAATATATAAACAAGCGATAGGTAAAATTATCATTTGACACCCTTGGGTTCCACGTAGTTAGGAAATGTCGCCTTAACATTATTCAAAAGCTAGTATAAGCGTATACTCTTTTATTTATTTATATTTATTACTATTTAACGTCAGGCGGATTCTAGCTCGCGTGGGCTAGGTCCTAGAAGAGTCCCAAAATAGGGCAAATGACGCTAGGGGGGTGCCCTAGGCTACAGGGGGTGTAAACGAATGAGCTAATTTACAAGAGACAATTTAAAGAGAAGTTCCACTTTCGTAACAGCCCTTATCTTTAATTAGTTTTAGAACTAGGGTTAGACAAAGGAGATATATAATTAAACGAGAAGGGAAAGAAAAGGAGGCGTGTCTAACTAGAGACAGATTTTGGTGTAGAATTCGGTCTTAAAGTAGACCAGGCTAAAAAGGTTCTCGCAGTGATGTCCAAAGAGCAGCTGGGGGTTCTTCTTGGCCTTAGCTAAAAGCTTAGAGGCTTTGTTGTTTGCTAGCTTGTAGAAGAGTAGGTGGAACTGGGTCTTAGCCTTCTTACACTTACAATTCCCTGACTCAAGTAGCGAGTCGAAGTGAAAGTAGCGAAGATGGTAAGCCGTAAAGTCTCCATGTCCAGAACGAGCAGCAATTAAGCGAGCGAGGACTTCTCTAGGTAGCTGGAGAGATTTAGGCTTTGAGGACCAGGTGTAGAGCCCTAGGTCCTTATAGAGAGCTGGAAGTGTCGTGCTCCAGAGCTTCTTCGCAAGCGCAATCCCTGTCCCCTTTACCTCTCTCTTAAGCGTGGCTGTACAGAGTAAAGGGGAGGGTTCAGGAGAGGGTAACCGTGCTGCTCTCCCTGCAGCTTTATCTGCAATCTCATTGCCTAGGATCCCTATGTGGCTAGGGCACCACCTTGTCTGTATTTTCCCAGGGTACAATTGAGCTAATTCGTTGACCTTGTTAAAGGTTTCTTGCGAGGTGCCGCAGGATCGGTAGGTCAGCTGTAGGGTAGCTTCGAGGTTGTCGAGCCAAATCCAGCACTTTCTGGCCGACGACCAGAAAGGGGAGTCCAGGGCTAGTTCTAGGCCATGTAGAGCAGCTCTAGCCTCTGCATTATATATCTCTAGCACCTTGCCAAAGGAGAACATCTTAGTGTTGAGAATAGCCCCTCCTCTTGTTAGACAGACACCCCCGCCAGTGCTCTTGTCTAAGCGAGAGCCGTCAGTGAGTACTACTATATCAGTAGAAGGAACCAGAGCTAGGAATTCAAGGAATTTGGCCGTAAAAGAGCTCTTGTCTCCACCAGGGTCAGGTCCTGCTACTTCAATAAGGCGGGCCTGTCGGTTGAACCCCCTGTCCCATGGAGGGTCTTGTATTGAGCCAATCTCTTCAGAGGGAGAGAGGGCTCTATAAGAGCGATAGATAAGCCTAGCCTTAGGGCTAGGGCTATTCACACATCGTTTGAGCGGGTGGGCAGGGTCTAGCCGCCGGATCCTGGCTTCTAGTGCTTTACTTCTTGCTATAAGGGCAATTTCAGGGGCTAGAAGGCCAGATTCCATGAGGAGAACTGAGATAGGAGTAGTCTTGTATACTGAGAGGATGATCCTAGCACACCTAGCTACTACTCGGTCTAGGAGAGTCAGGTGACGGCCAATTCGGTTGTTTGTAGTCCCTCCTTCTTTGGCTCTTGCTCGTCTAGGGAATTATGTTTCGCTTCCAAAGTAGGCGATTGATAGAATACAAGCGGTAGTCGCTTGTTTTAGCAGGTAGGAGGGAGACCCTCTTATTGTGTTTGTTGTCCCTTTTAGAGCATTAGCTACTAGCGTGGCCTTACTTGTCATCCTTTTAACATAGTTGTAGAAAGTAAGACGAGGGTTAAAGAAGATGCTAAGCCAACGAAGCTCTTGGGTTGGCTCTATTGTTCTGCTCCCTACTATAATAGAAGGCGGAAGGCGGAAGGCGGAAGGCGGATGCCCCTCCCTTTTTGCTTTCTCTTACGAGAAAAGTGGATAAGTTCAGACTTCTCTGCGTCAAAGGTGATACCCTCGTCTATACCCTACTCTAATACACTAGCTACCTGTTTTGCGAGGACCTTCATATTCCCTGCCTTAGTAGGCCTAAAAGCAAGTAATCCAATGTCGTCCGGATAGCCGAACCTTTGTAACACTGGGAAGGAGCCTACCCCTGAGGTGAAGAGTGGCTGGATGTAGAGCATGAAGAGGATAGGCGAGATAGGTGAGCCCTGGGGCAGACCACATTGAAGAGGATTAGAGACTCCTATTTCTCCGTCGAGCTTTACTTTAACAGATCTGTTAGACAAGAAGGAGGTGACCCATGCTACCAAGCTATATGGCCATCCTTGCTCTCGTAGTCTCTTGATTAGGCGGCCGGGGAGTACTGCGTCGAAGGCACCCTTAATATCTAGCGTAAGGAGGGAGGCCTCCTGTTTGTCTGCTAATGCCTTCTCAATGTCAAAGGTAAGGCAGGTAGTAAGGTCTGTAGCAGCTCTTAGAGGGAGGGCTCCGAACTGGTTCGGCCCTAGAACAGAGTGCTTAATAGCTATCCATGAAGCTCTCTTTGCAAGAAGCCTTTCAAGCACCTTTCCTAGGACTGAGACTAGGGAGATTGGTCGGTTTGCTCGAGGAGACGACTTATCCTTCTTATTTAGCTTTGGGATAATGGCGACAATAGCAGTGCGGAAGATCTTAGGATGAAACCCTGTCTCTATGCACCCCTTGAAGAGAGAGTATACTAGGTGTGAAATCTGATGCCAGGCAGCTTTAAAGACCCCTGTTACTAGCTCATCTTCTCCTGGTGCAGTAGAAGCCTTTCCTAAGACCGATTCTTCAACCTCACGGAGGGTAAGAGCTACCCAA